CTCTACAACTTGAATCTTTTCTTAATTGAATCGTTTCAACGTAAAATTGGTGATGAATTTTTTCTGAAAAGTGTAACAAATCAGCAACTTTTGTGACTGACTTGCAGATTATGATTCCTCAAATGTGTCTGTCGAAAACGATCTAACGTGACTGATAACGAGATCGAAGTCATGTACTCTTCACATGGTTCAATAGTTAATCATACTTGTGGAGTGTAGGAAAAGAAATGTTTCCAGTCACTCAATAATAATATACAAAAGGTCAAGCAAAAATATATAATGTGTCTACTTTACCTGCTTTTTCTCTCCTTGATGTATTCATAACAGCTCTTCAACACGAAATCACAACCCAAGCCTTTTCCCCATTTGAAATCATCGGCCATGGAATAGTCGACTTCATACATGCTTTGAGGAGCAAAATATAATGGATAACAACGTGATAAGAAAGGAGTGTGGTGTGATGATATTTGCATATTGATTTCGTTTTTGAAGTTAGTTTAGCACAATTTTATTTATCTATACAGGTTGTGAGTTCAGAGGACGCGAAGAGTGCATTTGTGAAGGATATAGGCTATTTACAACCTACATCAAATGCAGTACCGCAAACTTGAAGGTGCCCACAGAACCCTTGACGGTTGTTAAAAATAGGTCGATTATATGAAGAGACGTATTAAGAGTTAGTTACTGGAATGTTCTATTTAGTTCTTAGAAAAGTTCGATCACTATAAATCGCTCTTAAAAATCGATTACAATGTGTTTAGTAATTCGTAGTCCCATATGTTTATCCGCATTTATCCGTGCTTCAATGGAAGGAAAACGAATACCACAATCTTCGTCGACAAAGCAATAATGTGTGTATTTGCAAATCTCCAACGTTCACATTTCACTTCTGATCACTTTGTACTGGACCACTGAAATATTTTGCTTACAATTCATGTTCACATAGATGACTTATCAAGTAGAAGTAAATTTTCCCACTTCAACTCCTCCGAATTATCATGATCACAAAGAACATATCTTTTCTCATAGTATAGTATGTCAACATGTGAATTTCATTCCACACTGCAAAATCACTGATGAAATTCAGTCAACAGCTATGAATCGCGCATTATTGCACATTCGTAAGTTCAAATTTAGTTATCAGTGGGAGAAAGAGTCATGCTAAGCGATTTATTTCGCATTCACACACAGTTTATTTTGATTCATTATCCAACGAGGATCGTTGCAGGAGTAAATAAGGCGTCTTAATATGTCTTATCTACCTTACGTTAAATCCGGTAAGTTTCATGTAAAAGTTGTCATGTTTATCAGGATTTATCAAATCTTTGATTTCAACATAAAACACTTACTTTATATCTTCGAAATAAGCCAGAGTTATTCTCGAAACACGACTTGACTCCAATTGAAAACGTGCCATCAAATCATTCTGTTTAAAGTGAGTTCACACGAAAACATTAGGAATCAGTCGGTATGAAACTTACATGATCATGGTTCTTTCAAATAACAATCCGAACTCCACTATGAATACTGAACACTCAAAGTCAAATTTTGATTTGAATTTCTGCTATTTCTCTCAAATCTCTTATGCTGTTGGTGCTTCATTCATTGACATTGTGGTCTATCTTCAATTGACTCATGAATTAAACTAATGAAATTACTAAAATTTCCGCAAAACCTTTTCTAATATCTATATGTGTTGCTTTCATTCAGTACAAAAAGCTTTGTAGATTCTGATGCTACTGGATTATATTTTGGAAGTAAATTGACACGTATTCCAATGTGATATGGCTTTCTCAGATCCATCTGGCATGATGTCAGATATAGCCACTTCCATGCCGTGATTTGAAGAGTCTGGTACTAAAACAATGGGTAGGCATGGATCGTGATGGGTGAGCAGCAGATACGAGAGTAGTATTTCCTTGGTCTTGACCCCGAAAGGTAGTCAATTATACCGGAAAAAGCCATTGTGTGTGTTTATTGTTAGCAGATTTTTACAGTCATCAGTCACAGGAAATTCTAAATAAGCTTCTGATTAATCCAACTTTGCAAAGAGCTCATCAACGTTCAGCCTAGAAAATGATCTTCAGGTAGAGGTAGTTGATACTGATGTGTTTCTAGGGCTTCATTTAGCCCGGCTGATTAATCGGCACAAAAACGGACGGTTACCATTAGAAGTAAGGTCTCGTGGGTTCTTTGGAAGAATAAAGTTACTATAACGATATTGTTTTGTCGTCCCAAGTTTTCTGTTCGTTTCCAACAAAATGTTTTAAATAAAGTCACATTATTTGTAACTTGGGGATATGGGGATGGAACACTACTTTGTGGGGGAAGACAAAGTCGGAAAATTTGTTGTGGATATGAACTCCGACTTTTAATCAAAAGGGGCAGGTATTATATCTCGACGAGAATAATGAATAGTAACTATCGGAATCTATGTGTGGACTAATTATATACTTATATTTTTATTGTATAATTGTTAAGTAATTAAATTATTCATATTCGTGTTCCTCTTATTGTGGGCTTTAT